GTCCAGTGTAAACATAATACTACTTCTACAGACAAAATATAAGTAAAATAAATCTAATAGTGACGTTATATAGTGATAAGGTGTACAACACAATCTCTATCTGTACCTTTTAAGATGTTGAATGGCAAGCTCTAATAGGTGTTCACATAATTCGAATGAAGTAAACATTTTATTGAGGTGCTACTCAAAACTAGTAATGGTGTAAAAGTATTTTTCTGGGACATGCTTTTCCTTTAAATCTTTATAAATTAAAATTTGTTGTTTCTGTTAAGAGATATTAGTTTTTCAAAACGTCTCATCTCAAATCAAATGGATTTCTCTCGATATTAAGCTATATTGTAGTAATATAACAAGAATTGTCAGTATCTTGTATTATGTTGTGTAGGCAATTGCCCAATATCATAGCTCCAACACAGCTAGACCAGTAATAACATGTATCAATGATGATTGGATTAACAAGAGTGTGACAGCAATGTTTGTCTCCGTTTGTATACAATTATTTGCCTGTATAATTATATTTGCACTTAAGAATTCTAGAATATATTTCCTTAGTTGTCTTATAAGTAGCGAAAATATACCTTTAGTATAGCTCCAAAGCTCCAAAGAGTACCAGTCTTGCATACTGAAGACTGTGATATTAAACTGAAGACTGTGATAAACGCCCAGTGCTTCTCGTCTTATGTACAAAAAATAAAACTATGAAATTTTCAGAGCTTCTCATCTTACGTATGAAAATTAATATCGTGAAAATGTACTGTGATAACTTTTAGCGCTTCTCGTCTTAAAGACGAAATACAAATGAAGATTAGCGTCATAAGGAAGTAGGATTGAACAGCCCTTCACTGACACTCCGGCGTCGGATTCTTCTCCACGTTTGGAACCGTTTCAAAGCTAATTACGTCCTCGTCCAAGGACCAGGGCCCACTTGTATAAAACATCTCAACTCTTGAGATTTCCTCAAGTCTAAGATTTCCCATAGACAATACATTGCTTGATATCTTCCTTAACATTGAGATGGTTTATAGAGATAATTAAATCCCGGATGTAGTGTCGTCAGTTTATTTTTTGAGAACCGTGGCGGTTTTGTTTTGAAAGTTCTGTGTTTGAGGGTACCGTCACTTTCATGAAGTTGGATTTCTTACTGAAGTCGCTATCGAGAGAGAGTGTAGAACGACACGTAACTTAAACCTCACTCCAACTAGACTAACCTTCAGACTATATGGTTATCTTCTTGTCCGTAAACTAGAGAGTAAGTGCAGAACGACACGTAACTTAAACCTCACTCCAACTCGACTAACCTTCAGAATACACGGTTATCTTCTTGTCCGTAAACTAGAGAGTAAGTGCAGAACGACACGTAACTTAAACCTCACTCCAACTCGACTAACCTTCAGACTACACGGTTATCTTCTTGTCTGTAAACTAGAGAGTAAGTGTAGAACGACACGTAACTTGAACCTCACTCCAACTAGACTGACCTTCAGACTATTCGGTTATCTTCTTGTCCGTAAACTAGAGGGTAAGTGTAGAACGACATGTAACTTAAACCTCACTCCAACTAGACTGACCTTCAGACTATATGGTTATCTTCTTGTCCGAAAACTAGAGAGTAAGTGTAGAACGACACGTAACTTGAACCTCACTCCAACTAGACTGACCTTCAGACTATTCGGTTATCTTCTTGTCCGTAAACTAGAGGGTAAGTTTAGAACGACACGTAACTTAAACCTCACTCCAACTCGACTAACCTTCAGACTACACGGTTATCTTCTTGTCCGTAAACTGGAGAGTAAGTGTAGAACGACACGTAACTTAAACCTCCCTCCATCTAGACTAACCTTAAGAATTTAGGGTTATCTTCTTGTCCGTAAACTAGATTGAAAGTGTTGAACGACACGTAACTTAAACCTCACTCCAACTACACTGACCTTTAGACTATACGTTTATCTTCTTGTCCGTAAACTAGAGAGTAAGTGCAGAACGACACGTAACTTAAACCTCACTCCAACTCGACTAACCTTCAGAATACACGGTTATCTTCTTGTCCGTAAACTAGAGAGTAAGTGTGTAGAACGACACGTAACTTAAACCTCACTCCAACCAGACTGACCTTCAGACTATACGTTTATCTTCTTGTCCGTAAACTAGAGAGTAAGTGTGTAGAACGACACGTAACTTAAACCTCACTCCGACTCGACTAACCTTCAGACTACACGGTTATCTTCTTGTCTGTAAACTAGAGAGTAAGTGTAGAACGACACGTAACTTGAACCTCACTCCAACTAGACTGACCTTCAGACTATAGGGTTATCTTCTTGCCCGTAAACTAGAAAGTAAGTGTAGAACGACATGTAACTTAAACCTCACTCCAACTAGCCTGACCTTCAGACTATAGGGTTATCTTCTTGACCGTAAACTAGAGAGTAAGTGTAGAACGACACGTAACTTGAACCTCACTCCAACTAGACTGACCTTCAGACTATACGTTTATCTTCTTGTCCGTAAACTAGAGAGTAAGTGCAGAACGACACGTAACTTAAACCTCACTCCAACTACACTGATCTTCAGACTATACGTTTATCTTCTTGTCCGTAAACTAGAGAGTAAGTGCAGAACGACACGTAACTTAAACCTCACTCCAACTCGACTAACCTTCAGACTACACGGTTATCTTCTTGTCTGTAAACTAGAGAGTAAGTGTAGAACGACACGTAACTTAAACCTCACTCCAAATAGACTGAACTTCAGACTATACGGTTATCTTCTTGTCCGTAAACTAGAGGGTAAGTGTAGATCGACACGTAACTTAAACCTCACTCCAACTAGACTAACCTTAAGAATTTAGGGTTATCTTCTTGTCCGTAAACTAGATTGTAAGTTTAGAACGACACGTAACTTAAACCTCACTCCATCTAGACTGACCTTAAGAATTTAGGGTTATCTTCTTGTCCGTAAACTAGATTGTAAGTTTAGAACGACACGTAACTTAAACCTCACTCCAACCAGACTGACCTTCAGACTATAGGGTTATCTTCTTGACCGTAAACTAGAGAGTAAGTGTAGAACGACACGTAACTTAAACCTCACTCCAACTCGACTAACCTTCAGACTACACGGTTATCTTCTTGTCCGTAAACTAGAGAGTAAGTGTAGAACGACACGTAACTTAAACCTCACTCCAACTAGACTGACCTTCAGACTATACGGTTATCTTCTTGTCCGTAAACTAGAGGGTAAGTGAAGAACGACACGTAATTTAAACCTCACTTCAACTAGACTGACCTTCAGACTATAGGGTTATCTTCTTGTCCGTAAACTAGAGGGTAAGAGTAGAACGACACGTAACTTAAACCTCACTCCAACCAGACTGACCTTCAGACTATACGGTTATCTTCTTGTCCGTAAACTAGAGAGTAAGTGTAGAACGACACGAAACTTAAACCTTACTCCAACTAGACTGACCTTCAGACTATACGTTTATCTTCTTGTCCGTAAACTAGAGGGTAAGAGTAGAACGACACGTAACTTAAACCTCACTCCAACCAGACTGACCTTCAGACTATACGGTTATCTTCTTGTCCGTAAACTAGAGGGTAAGAGTAGAACGACACGTAACTTAAACCTCACTCCAACTAGACTGACCTTTAGACTATACGGTTATCTTCTTGTCCGTAAACTAGAGAAGGTCAAATATCACCTTGTGTTGGTATACTATCTGTGGTCAAGAGCCTGTAGACTTGACCAAGGCAATACTTATATAGGAGAGTAAGTGACATCTGTAGAGACCAATATCAGACTGAAAAAAGGTCCAAAGGGTCTAAGACGTAGCACTCAACTGGACCGTGACTATCGATTAATTGTTTTGACCTGTAAGTTGCATGTTGGTAAGGTTTGTTTGTTTATGTCAACTTGAAAGCCTTATATGTCAACTACAAGTTTCACTATCTAGATTTATACATTTTCTGCGTCATGTCTATAAACTTCGTGGTTCTTTACAAAACGTTGTTTTAATTTTCTGAACAAGCTAAGGTGGCATTTGACCCCTTTACACATTGAAGGCAAACCAAGAACATATCTGTACAATTTTGTTCAGAAACTTTATATTCTCTAAACAAAAGTAACTAATGGTGACAAGTCGGTGTAGAAATGTATCCTGGCCAGCTCTCAAAGTTGACATTTGAACTCAAAACGATACAGAAGCAACCCTACCAAAGACTTATTTGACTAGACCGCACGACGTTTTAGATAATGTCGTTTAAACATTCCAGGAAGACAAAGGACGACATCATGACCCCTAAAATGTTTAGTTCTTAAGAAGACTTATCTTCGATAAGACGAAGGAGGCAATCATGTGGAAGAAGAAGAAGAAGCTACACATATGTATTCAGAGAAAATGTTGACGGACGGACGACGCACCATATTACAGTGTGATCGGCGAGACAGATGCTGAAACAGGTCTGCAGCGCCTGGGTCACGGCACTCGAGCTGTTCTCGTGTATTTATATATATTGTTCATTCACAGAACATACGGGGTTTCCTATGAGCCCTTTTTAGGACGTAGAGGAGGCCAAAAGAAATCCGCTGTCCCCGAATTCACCACACTAGACTTTCTTATCTACACCCGGTTTAGTTATTTGCTGTGGTGTCTGTGACCGGGCTAGTATTCTACAGTGACGATACAAATATTGTCGAATGTTCTGATCTATTTATATCGTCCATGAACGCCCTCGGCATGCAAGACCAAACACATACTATACTGACTGTATCGTGAAATCCAACTTACATGAATCATAATCTTATTGTCAAAGAGGCGTGAACTCATCGTCTTAACGTAGCATACCTGATGATAATTAGCCTGTTTTTATTCAACGTTCAACCCTTTATGCTGGTATACATAACCAACCCTGTATGCTGGTATACATAACCAACCCTTTATGCTGGTATACATAACCAACCCTTGATTTTGTTTTATATGAAATAAAGACCATGAAACATGATACAAGTTTTTTTCTGTTTTATTGTACATTCAAATAAACTATAATCGAAGTAAACATCGATACAGGTGTCACAAAAGGGCACGTGTAAAAAACATATAAAATCTATCAATGGAGGATATCAAACGATTCTGAGCCGACAACAACATCTTCTTATCACAAAATGTTTAAATACCTAGTGAAAACAACAACGCTATCAGCCTTCATGTCGCCCCGACAGCGACCATATACTCCCCACGCACAACTCCCTCGTGTAAAATCTCACAAACACATATCTATTCGTCTGAATATCACATACTCCCGGTTACAGTGTATACTCCAGACCCGTATTGGTATAATACGTTCAACAGGACTGCGTGTCTAACATTACTTTTAACTTAAATGATTCTCTAAGAGATTTTCTGTCAATCGAAGGTACACTATGTGCTCGTAGGTACACCATGTGCTCGTAGGTACGTACACCATGTGCTCGTTGGTACACATGTGCTCGTAGGTACACCATGTGCTCGTAGGTACGTACACATGTGTTCGTAGGTACGTACACCATGTGCTCGTAGGTACACTATGTGCTCGTAGGTACACTATGTGCTATTGAGTCAATTTTGTTTTATTTTTCAGCAGTTCTTCTGTAAAGTTCAAATGGATCTTCTGCGTGTAAATTAATTACAACTAATTGAAAATAACGTTGTTAAAATTACATAATAAAATAGATATTATAAATATATTTCTACAGATTTTTATTTCATTTACCATTGGACATTATTTCACAACATCAAAAACAATTCAAAGGATTTCTGATGGCAGATTTGTGTCATTGAAAAATGGACAAAAACTGTATAAGATACCAAAGATATTTAGAGAGATAAAAACAAAGAAACCCTGAAAATTAACACTATAGGATTTCTGTTTTAAAAGTAAATTGAAGAAAAAAAATTGAGAGAAAAAAAGGAAAAAGAAACAAAAGAAGCAAAAAAGCTCAATAAATGTTGATATTGACTAAGCAGATTACACGTCGTAGTTCTGGAATGGTGATGAAACGGGAAAACAACAGCGATGAACTTCTCTACGTTAACAAATACTGATATAACAACTCCTAATGACGTATAACAATCAATGGCACTTTTCTCAATCTACGTCAAAATAATTAGCAACAACGAACGACCCAACATCAACACTGCGCAGAAAAAGTAGAATGAAAGCATGACTCATAACAGGTTCCCTCAGTAAACAACTGTATACCCATTAACATCTATGTCGTTACCTCGCCATGTGTAGTGCGCACGCGCACTGCCTGTGTCAATATGTATAATATTCGCCTGGCTGTTAACGGTAAATACGCGATGACGATAGCAAACAACCTGATCGATACCGGATTCTGAACTATCGGCTTAAGCACAGCGTAAGTGGTGTTGACAAGTTTCTCGAAGCCTATGACATGATAAAAACATTGTTTCCTGGCGTTATACACCAGAAATGTCACCGGTATAGTATGTCAGTAATGACTTATCGATAGCTACCTCGACTAGCATTCGGTAATCTTTTATTCTCAAAAATCACACTTTTCATTAAAAACGATTGGTTTGAGATCGTATTTAACACCCAATCCAAAACCGTACCGTTCAGTATTTTCACTGATCTCTGTATACCAAAACTGGCCAATCATACATGTGTTCTTTTAAGAACCATTCTCATTAAAAATGTGTCTCTCTCTACCCAAATTCGGTCATTGGGCAATCCTCCAGCAACACGGGCGTAACAAGAAAGTCTCCCTGTTGCCCTAGCACTTGTCCTATGATGGCTGCTCGCATTCAGACATTCAAAAGTCTTGCTACAATCGTTCTAGGCTCTTTGTTAAATAGCCTTCCAATTGGATTCTTCATGGAGACCCAGTCATTGATGGGTTCCAAACGTGCGGGCTCGTCCAAAGTCCCACGATAAAAAAATCTCGGGTTGTGTTTCCCTTTATTTTTTTGGCTCGTGGCGTTTCATGTGCAGGGCCAGATGGTCTGACCGAGCGAAGGACCGGTCACAAACCTTGCACTTGAAGGGTTTGGCACCTGTGTGTTTTCGTATGTGTCTGGTCAGCTCGTCGGACCGCGCAAACCTCCACTGACACGTTGGGAAGTGACATTTGTATGGCTTTTCACCTGAAATGACAAAATTTGAGGAAACATGAGGAAATGTCTCAAAATACCTACTAAATCTCAAATAAAGCGTTTGTAGAAGTTAAATTATTGTGAAAATGTCTCGTTTTATGAGCAAGTTTTATTTATTGGTTTTAACTTGTATCAATGTAATTACCTGTATGTATCCGCTGATGAGCCTTCAGATGGGAACTCTTGGTGTAAGCCTTTCTACAAGCTGGAACACACAAAAACAAAACAAACATTAAATTTCAGTTGTTTACACCAAACCATTCAATAACAAAATTAATGTATTTTCCGACTCGGAAATAAAACCTACACCGACTGGCCATTTGTGCGCATGCTCCCGACCTCGCTAATCGACCGATTGCTTTGTCGTGTATTAGGTATATATATCTAGTCCCGTAATGCCATTCTCTGTTCAATGAACTATTTCTGGCAAGACAAAGACTATTCTTGTAACGAATACATTTGACGGAAGAAGGCTTGTTACAGCTACACTGCCTAAATCGATACCGTAAGTTCAGTCTTCATTCACCGACATACGGGCACTCGACTCATTGATTAGACTAGCTCGGCTCGCTAGATTTACATTCTCTTGGTCAACCAACGACTTGGCTGATGTGACGTAAATAATGTATAGCTTGCTCTCTATTCGTCATGCTATCGACATGTTATCCCTGTAAAATCATGTACGTCTCCGAGTATCTACAGAGTCCGACAGGTCCAATCTGCTACAGAGGCTGAGCCCCTCTCTCTCCCCCCCCCCCCCCCCCCCTCGAATCATGAATTTATTTGAATTGCTTATTTCATAGTTTTTGTTTGTTTTTGTTTTTACATCAACAGGATCTAATCACGAACATCGGTAGGTGTATGACGGCTGCTCGACAGCTGTTTATTGTTAACAGCAGCGATATCATACACATACTGATTCAGTGAAAAGTTCTTCGTAAATGACAGAGAGCACTTATCTTCCACGGTTCGTCAGATCCAGACGAAGTAAAAAACAACTCGCCGACATTTAGTATGACGTCAGAGGGTCTATCAATTTATCGCATGGTTTACAAGCAAAGCGTTTTACGTCACGCAGGTGTAAATAAGTATACTTTACAGAACAATAGAGCTAACACAGAAACACGTAAGCAGAAAACAACTAACGGTACCCCACTTTCTTCGAATACAAAATAGTATAGTAAAGTATAGCAATAATCACCTGGAAATTCACAGAAGTGGATACGTCGTTTCTCCAGCTCCGGGTTGTTCTTCCTGTTGTACCTGATGGTGGAACACCCTGGATGTGTCAACTGGGGTTTGTTGTTACGTGTCGGTGTGCTTGTCCTGATGGGAATGACTGGTGTGACGTTGCTGAAACCACCGGCCGGAGACGACAGGGGAGACGGGCGATGAAGTCCTGGGTATGGGGGTGGGGGAGTGCGACGGACAATGTCTTGGTCTGGACTTCCGGGCTGAGAATTTGGAGGAGTTGGGGGTAACACTGGGACAGTGTGGGGAGGGGTGCTCATGTACATCCGATTGTTTGTGGTCACTTGGGATTTGTTGATGCCCACAGATCTAAGCTGGGTGATATATTGCACAACTGATGAGCCGGGCTGGGAAAGAATAAGTTGCTGGGGCACCGGTATAGGTAGAGTCTTGGGGCGAGAGTTGAAACTATCGCACACACTGGGTGTCAGGAGACAACCCGACTCCGACGGCTCCAGTTTGATAGTAATACCGTTAGGCGATGTCCTTTGCGAGTCTTCAAATTGACAAGAAGGTTTACTAGAAAGGTCCGTAAACTCGGGTTTGATTTTGGGTACCGTAACTGCACCCTTCGCTTGGAACACATCGTCCCTCTTAACTTCGTTCATAGAAGGATCTAGAATATCAAAACTACTCCTAAGATCCTCCCACAGAGAATCCGACACTTTCTTACTCTGCTCCTCCAGCTCGGTGTAACTACTGGGGACGAACGTGTCCATCATAGTGGCACTGACGTCAAACGAAGCAGTATCCACCTTTTTGATTGACGTGGTGGTTTTCTTGGGAGTCGAAACATCTCCAAAGAATTCAGAAATGAGAGAAGAACTTCCACGCCTTGGAATATCCCCTGCCTGGGATTTCTGGGAACCTATCAACCCTGTTCTAAGATGACCCAAGTCCATGTATTTGGCTCGCGCCAGCTGAACGCGCTGCTTGGCGCTGTTCAGTTCCCTTGTGTCTTTGTCATCTCCAAAGAACTCGTCAACTACTGAGGCGCTTTCGCGCCTCACCTTTTTAACAGTAGGCGCTTGACTCAGGGGGTCATATGGAAGGTATTTTTCCAACTCTTGGACAACCTAAAAATTAAATAAAATTAAATAAATAAAATATTGTTCACATCTTCCATCTGTTTCTTTCGTATGATTGATTTCGAAAGAGAAAACAAATCGTATGTACTTTATTTGTATACGCTTACATTGAAGACCGACATGGCTTGTTTTTTTACAACCAGAAACAAAATGGCTGAGCACACGATCAATGCCTTTCAAAGGTATCGGCTCACAAGTCAAACGCCCACTCGTATGCTTGCTGAGTTTTATGAATGACTCTAGCTCGCTAAACTAGTTATGAATGGAATGGCGCAGTCGGTTCATCGGGTCCACAATCACTGAATAAACCGACCAATCACGTGCGCCGTTTCTGACATGCCTGGCTAACTACCTGCCGTCGGCATTGAACGATACACACGCCAAAATACCCTTAAACAGTGTATTAGGTTCGATACACACACGGAAAACAGCAACTATAGATTATGTTCCAAGTGCTTTTGTCATGAAATATTTAATGTTTTCGTTACAATAACACATTACTCATAACGTTTAAAATAACTGGTCAGAAATGTATAAAACCTAAAAAGACATAATGAAGGCTGTGTCCGTAAAATGAAATAATATAGTTTTGAATTTCAATGACGTCACATAAATGTATATCTAATAAGTCCCATGATGTGGTAGTAATGTATCAGTCGTAGAATACATATAGTTATCATTTTTGAATCGTGTTCTCCCTCAGACATCTTCTCCCTCTGACATCTTGCATGTTACCTATATTGAATTTTGGTATCCGAATTATATTCGACAAGAGCCATTAAAATGATATCCGGTTAACTTAAACTTAAAGCTGGCATCTACCTGTAAATATCGCCAAGTCACCTGTATGTGGACACAGTGTATGAGGTGTTCAGTCACACGTTGTTTGTGACCTAGTCCGTCTACAAATATTTCACAATAGCAAATATCGCCTGTCCCTGACAACCTGACCGACTTTGTCAAGTGTCGACATCTCAAAATGGCGTAGACATCTGGCTTACCGATAGTCAATTTGAGAATACATTTCAACCTACTCCGGCAATATATATGTGTAAGCCGCAAGACTTGTATGGAAATGTACCACTTGACGGTGAATAGGTCCAATAGTATACTTAACCTTTTATTAGAAATCGATTTCTGTCGTTCACGATATGTGGTATAAAGGTTCTAGGCCTAGGTTAACCAAGCATGCTGGACCTGATATCGTTCGCGTATATGAATAAGCCTTCACAAGTGGCCACAACCCATGGACGAAACAAATACATATTCTGGATCTGTTAGTAAGATATATTTCAACAAATGAATACTTACGTTCCACTGCGAGGACACATCCGCGCTAGGCGGGAGGAAACAGTCGTCTTGGTCAGGCACAATTTGATCCTCGAAAATTTCGGTCTCTTCTAAAAGGAACTCAGTGTTCGCCATCGGTTTAGAAGCACTGCTTGATGAAAGTAAAATTCCACACGTAGGTTTCACTGAAATACGAATAAGTTCTATATATAATTCACAGACGGTGGTTGTAACACGTCTCACCTCTACCTCTCTCGCTAGGCGATCTATTTATGAATGAACCCACACAAGATTGTTGCGCTTATATACCATTGGCATGTTCAGCCAATCACATGAAAGAAGGCGGAGCTATTTGTCGGCCTTGAATAATAAGCTGGCCGGCTTCCAAAAAGATAGTAGCAATATCCGCGCTTCTTGGTACAAGTATACGCGTTTTTACATGTTAGCGAACTAATATTTGCTGCTTTTTTAATAAAACAATAAAGACTGACATTAAGTTTGAAATCAGAGTACGAAATTATAAACGAAGGCACGATATGTAGAGATTGTTTATGTCATTCATTTAAAATGACGTCATCATCTAGCTGTATAGCATGTGACGTTCGCAGCAGGTCAGAGTTCAAAAAACAGACTTTAGAGTAAACAACCTGTACAATACACTAGAAAATTCTTTACCTGTACGTGGTGTATAGCACGCTCTGTGGGTATTTAATTACTGTTATGATGAATGGTGTTTTTACGTTAACTCGATATTGAAATGTAGAAATCGTAAAAAAACAACTCGGGGAGATGATGAAATAGGACACACGCCACATGTGTTAGTCATACAATATATTTTAATTTGTTGATCGATTTTCAAGGACAGATTTACGATAACACGGTATATCCTGCCCGGGGGTATGGACATCGGACGGAAAACAGGTCCTCACCGCATATTTGTTTAAACCGATTAGCGCTGTAAGGGATGTACTTATAAACCACTGCGTGAAAATCCCTCTGGAATCCGGTGTAGTAAAACATAACACGGTCATAATGCATGGTGTATTATGTACATGGCAATGAGTATAATGATTACAGTAGGGTCCAAAGTCCATCAACAATCGATGATGACGTACAAGTGGACACGATGAAGTCTAATTAGTTTAAGATTTTTGAATTATTGTTAGGTCTTCAAATCAATGAAGAAAAAGAAACATAGACTATCTTTTATCAGCAAAGATTATTTCTGTTCTATTCTGTAATCCTTATCATTCTCATTATTTTATTAGACATTTAAAACGCAGAGTATAAAATCCTTTGTTTTACTTGTTTGGAAAATGTTTAGAAAATGTTTCTTTTCTGTTATAAATATGAGAGTACTGGTACTCTGTATTGAATATTGAACTGACACACAAATGCCTCACATTGTCGATGGGCCGTTAAACAATACAAACACAGATCAAAACACTGAATATTTGTTTGTGTTTTTTTTGTTTTTGTTTTTTTTTTTAAAAAAAATTGAATATTGTACTGACACAAAATCTTAGTTTAAATGGTGCTGTCTTCACGGTATATCTTTATTATTACTCTAAAGACATAAAACAATTATTTGAATTTGATTAAACAAATGCTAATGGATAAACTAAAGGAAGTAATGGCTCTTTGGCGATACGTTCATCCAGGAACACGTATTGTTTGTTCCGTTTTAGGTGAGATTTTCCTCATTGAGCTTACTTTACATTGAGCTGACTCTACATTGAGCTTGCTCTACATTGAGCTGACTTTACATTGAGCTGACCAAAACACGGTCAATGACACGAAGCTACACATTAAAAACACTTATTTAAACAAGACAGCGTCACAAAAATAATCTGTCTAGGCAGTTGTTTTTGCCGGTACAGAACCATGTACTTCAGTCTGTATCGGCCAGGTTTATATAACCCCAAAATTGAGAGAAATGTACGTGCTGTCTTAAAGTTTAACAAACACCTAACAATTACAAAATACATGTACACTTTAAAAAATAAAAATAAACGGGTCATTTATCTTTTACAGAAACACATAAATCACATTAGTTTGTATACGTAAACAACAACAACAAGTCTATTGTAGTCTCGACGCCTATTTATATATATATATACTTTGGGGTTTATACAATGGGTCTGAGTCGGGTAGACCGTAGAACCTGTAAACAAGCCCTCTACACACGTAGTAAGCTTTACAAGCTTTACACATGTTATGACGGCAAGTTATAACTAATAGTAGAATCTTCTCATTTTAACTGAAACTCAATAAGAATGTTCTGAGATTCAAAATAATATCTTTCAGACTTAACATAAGAAAATACCTACAATTTTACGGACACTTTCGGGGAAGGAAATTGATCAGAAAACTTTGATTTACAGCTGCTTAAGTTAGGTACACCTAGGTCGTGGCGTATGTATACCTGTACTCTACCAGACTCACACGTCCATCTACATCAGTTCCCCCTACGCAGGCGACTTGTAACAAACAACAATGCAGGAAGTCTACATCTTTATGTCCACAATATAAAAACACATTAAATGTTAACTGTTAATGGTTCGGTGGAAAAAAATCTTAGTGGAATCAGTTTCTGGAAAGTGGTCAGCTCCGCATCTTAAGATAGGCTAAGTTTATTCCGGTACAGGATTTAAACAATCCTCTTCGCCGGACTCAAAACCATACAATACATAATAACACTTATGATAAAAACAAAATGCAAAATGTTATAAAAATAATATAGACAGCTAAGTTCCGCTGAATTTAGATTAAAGAGGCTTGAGATCAAATAATACAAAATTGAATATAAAGGAGGTTGACTGGTATGAAATGATCTCTACCAGGCAGAAATGTAACTTAACAAAGAAACTCAACTCAACAGACACACCAAAGTCATTCAGGATATTCCAATACTCCGTGAAATATAAGCAATTAGTTCTTTGGGCGCTAACTGAATGTTTACTTGAAATCGTTGATGATTTGAAGTTGGGTTCGAACCAAGGCATTGCATGGTATTAATTTTGTCACTTTAATTTATTTGTACATATTTCATGCTATTTTTAAAGGAAAAAGACAATTTACACCACTAATCTGCTGTTGATTTGCTTCAGTCAGATGTAAGATAGAAGACGTGCCTGAAAGCCACTGACAGGGGCGGCAATAGTATCGGAGAAACCATGATGTCCGAGGCATTAGTTTATTATATTTTGTAAGTAGTACTTGTCTATTTTATGAATAAAAGCGGTCTTTTTGAGCGTCATATTTTGTTTCAAGCTTTAGTAAGTCTCCAGTAACTCTCGCTGAAAGTTTTTATTGTACGCTGTCATACCCAACGAAACGAAAATATCCAGGTATACACTCAACCCGGATGCTCTCATGGTAATATTCCATGACAACAAGTGAAATAACACTCGTGGTCTCACAGGTGATCACATAAAACAGAACATTTCATCAGCATTTAAGATATATATATGGCATACAGTATTATAACGATATATATCATATATTACAAAGATAGAAATAGCATATTATAAAGATATAACATATCATAAAGATATATATAACATATTATAAAGATATGCATAACATATTAGATATATATAGCATATATGAATAATTCCGAGCGAGAAATTTTCCTATAAAAACTGGCCAATCTAATATTTTCCCCAAAAGTGTGCTGTATTAGATTAATTATGAATGACTGCAGTATGTATGATTAACATTGTTTACGCTAATGAGTTACAATATTCCGAGAAACTTATGACTGTCTTTGGATCTATTACGACATAGTTTGCGTCAGCGCACTAGGTGATAGTTGTGTCCAACATTTACACACTCAAGCGTCTCTTTGAGACTTGCAGGACAATTTGTTATTGAAAACTTAACGATGACACGGCTTAGTAAATACAAGCGATGGTTTTACAACTTACACATATTATCCGCTGATGAGTTTCAGCCGTAATCCTGAATGGTCCGGTTATAGAGGGGGATGAGAGGGTGGGTTAGTCGTTAGTTAGCCTGATCACATATCTCTCCTGTTTCGAACACTGATCTGTGTGTTTGCAGAATTATCGCTTTTATGTCTCGTATACGTATAAGTATCATAAATCGACGCAAGACGTCATCGACTGACCGTTACTATCGACTAGCTTGTATTTCGGACACTGGCAATTAATTATCCGGATAACTGTCAGTCTAGTCGAGTCCGGTTTGTATGTTAGCATCGCCCTAACAATCGGAGCATTGTCTATGATGTAATATTGTTATTAATATGCGTTTTACACGGATATTGTAAAGAGAATGTAAATAACGGAGCTGTCTACGGAGATGATTTAGCGATCCGGGTCCGAAACTGACCGTCAACATCGTGTTGGTTTGTAGTGACCAGCCGTGTCAGTGTCCAGTTCGGTCAAGGTTTACACGACACTGGCTGTGTTGTAGCACCTAGCCTGGAAACCGGCATGAGTTACTGTATATCTGGGATATAGTTATTACCCAGGACTATTGTTATACATGTCCTTTTCAGTACAGGTAGTCTTCCAATGGTTTATTTCTCTCTATTCTGAAATTCAAGAATCAGACATCGAAGATATCAAAATTATATAATATTTTTTACAAACGGGGCCACTAATTATATATATAATTAGGTCTCTGTTAAGTAGTCACCGAGATCAGCGGTATCAAGATGTCAAATTAAGTCCCCCAAACGAAGTTTTTACTCAGAATCTTATTATTATTATTATTCTTTCTTCTTCTTCCTCTTCTTCCGCTTTCCGCCGTAAAGGGTTCCGACACTTTTCTCACAAACTATAAGTCAGATCTTCACCAAACCGTGAGGGATTATTACTGATAGCCTCTAGATGTGCAAACACTATTTTGTTTTTCCGATTATCATCCAAGGTGGCCGCCATGATTTTTTGTTTTTTTTTGGGGAATTTATAATTTCTAAAGGTGTTCGCTAAAGATAGCCAACGTCACCTATCCTATTTTACATGTTTTATAGATATTTTCCAATGCATTCAAAATTTGGCATGTAGGTGTATGATGGTAATGCGAACTCAACCATGATATCCGTTTTCTAATTAGACAAAATGGCTGCCATATACTGGTTACTGATTGGTCGAAACTCCGTTATTATTCGAGTTCGTTCAAATTTAGTATGTATGTGTAATATGGCATTGCAATCTCAACTGCGACATTTGTTTTATAATTTGACAAAACGGCCACCATATACTGGGTTCTGATTGGTACGAAATTTGGATATTGTTGGATGTTTGTGAAAATTGGTT